TACAAGAGCGAGGCAGCACAGGGGTTGGGATGCGAATTGTAGAGCAGATGGAGTCATTCAACGGTTAGCAACAAGCCTGCAATGATTTGGGCATAGATACAGTGGGAGGGACAGGAAGCTGCTGTGTGGAGAACACTAGGAGGCCAGAGTAGAGGCTACTGCAATCGTCCTAGCGGAAAGGCTGGTGTCCTGAATAAAATAGAGCGATGCAAAAGCAGAGAAATGAGGGGCTTGAGGGATATCCCGAAAAAATAAGAGGAGAGATTTGGTGAGGGATGGTGTTGGAGGTGAGCTGGAAGGAAGGTGAATGTTAGTGCTCTGCCTCTGTGTTTGATGATGAGGAGGAAGGAGCGGTTTTGGAGGATGAGAACAAGTGACAGGAGTGACTTCCAGGAGGTGGGTGTCCCAAGGACCAGGAGCTACAGTTTGGTCTGGGCTGGACCCAGGATTTGGATCCTGAGTAACTACATGGTCCCTGGAATCCTTGTTCATCGTTGAGTTTTTGGACGTGTAGAGTGAGCAATGAGAGAAGAAGTGATCAGGTATGAATTCTTTTGTACATAGGATTTGGGCACCAATGACAGCCTTTTTACCAGTGGGCTTGGCAGGTGGAGATGGAGTCTCAGAGGATGGTTTGGAGGTATTGGTGGCCATAGCTGCTGAGAAAAAAAGAAAAACCCCACAAGGAATGAAATCCAAAGTGTGTTACACCTTAAGGGAAGGCTGGCAGCGCGGAGGCTCTAATTATGAAAATTTGTGCACATGTACGCCCCATTCAGCCAGAAGCCAGGCCATTGTCCTAGAGGGATGTGTGTGTGGAAAGGACAGGTGATTCCTGCCACCATCAACTGGGTACATTACCTTTGTCTTTATTTAATTATTTACTTATTTTTTGAGACAAGGTCTTGACCTATTGCTAGGGCTGGAGTGCAGCTATGGGATCCTTGCTCAGTGCACCCTCACAGTCCTGGGCTTAAATGATCCTTCTGCCTCAGCTTCCCAAGCGGCTGGGACTATAGGTGAGCCCACCACTCCTGCCTAAGTTTTTAAAATTTTTGTAGAGATGGGGTCTTGTGATATTGCCCAGGTTGGTCTCAATCTCCTGCCCTCAAGTTATCAACCCACTGCCAGGTCACATTCCTATACATCTCACTGGCCCCTTCCCATCCAAAGGGTGGGTAACAGAGGAGGCAGGAATGGCCGTTTGAGGGGCTCCCGTTTCTCAGAGGAAGGGAGGTAGGCGGTCACAGACACAGAGAGATCTGGAATACTCACTAGTGGTGGACGTGCTTGAGGCTGGATGGGTGTAACCTGCAGAGACAAGGAGGGGAAGGGGGAAGGGAGGGAGCTTCCTTGAAGAGCCAACTCGGGATACTGGGAGTTGGCGGCTGGAAAGATGGTCCATTGGTGGCTGGACCATCACAGCTGAGAGTCATTCAGGGGAGACAGCGCCCCTTCCTGGCAGGGATCAGAGTCGACCCCTGACCTCAGGCTTTGCTCAAAATACTCTGATGGGAGGCCCACATGGGAGTGTGAACTAGGTCAAGGAACTGGTTGCAGCAGAGCCCGCCCAGTGAGGAAGAGGAGACCCACAGCCCAACATGGCCCCGCACCATAGATGTTGACATGGTCAGTGCAGAAGCCGGGGAGAAAACGCCCCAAGCGCATGGGTTGGAGACTCCATCATCTTGGAGATGCTGGGAGGAGCTGCCTACGTGTGAAAGTTTTGCGGGCACAGGTCCCTGTTCACTCAGCGCTGGAGGAGGGTGGGGTGTGCAGTGGAGGCAGTGGGCATCCCTAAGGCTGGGTCTCAGGTGGAAGCAGCTCACAAGGATGGGAAGACTTTGGAGACCTCAGAGTACTCACTGCTGGAGGTGGTGGGCTTCCTCTTCTGGGTGTAACCTGCACA